AGCTCAGAAATAAAGATCAGAGCTTTAAGGGTAACAAAGTCGAGTTCGTAAGATATACCATAATAGATTACAGAAAGGAGCCAACTGGAATCCTTTAAGGACACATAATCAATTTCCTAACACGAGATTTGGGTTTTTTACCTCTCAGCAATGGCCTAAATAGGCTTATTTGTGGACATTAATGAATACTGATCTTCTAGGTAAATACAATGATACACAATATTATTATTTCAAATGGCAGGCTTTATTATATTTATCATTAGCCCTTAAACTTTGACTTCAGCTTCCCCCATGAGTGAGAGTACATACATAGCAGTTAATTAATAGCAGTTCATTAGCTGTCTTCTTGCTTCCCAGTATAAAATGTCGAGTGATAGACTTTTTTGTCGTAGGAATATACGTTGTCCATGGTGCACCACATGGAGGTAAGTCTATCGCGCACCCCATGATGCATAGTACAAAGACTAATATGCTTGGCTATTGCCAGGGTCGAATCTACCACTCACTAACGAAACTTGAGCATAGTAGAGAGGGACAAAAATGGACCCTTAAGAACTTAGTGTTTCCAAACACTTTCGGGATGACTTTCATCCGATTCCGGTTAAATGAGTTGGTTCAAAAGTGATCTTCCTCAGAGGCAAATGCAAAATGAATATTCCAGACATCTATAAGGGAATATTTCTCCTGAAGACGTCATACATTCGTTGTCGATAGTGGACTGAAAACACATCCAGCGGAAAGGCTTGATTGATCACAGCGTAGCTGATTAAATATTAATTGACGTTCTAAAGCTTTTCTAGTTACTATTGATCCGAATGGTTCTATAATCTGAAAAAGCCATTTGATGGTTCCCGCGTCTGATCGATAAAGTAAAACTTCAGATGCTCCTGACATGCCGTATACTATGTTAAATGCCATAAGGCTACTTTGACAAGTCTCTCTTCATTAAGAACCAAGGGGAACTGGATAAAGAATTATATTAGAGAAGTCCTTGTTTGTTTAGGCTATCTATAATTAAAACAATAAAATTGTCGATTTCCATTAAAAAACGTGCGAATTTACAGATGATGTGAACTTTGGCGAAAACAGCTATCCACATATTAACGTTCACAGAAGGATAAAATATCCTTGTGGTACCAACAAGATCACTTTCTTCGGGTACAGCAACCAGGAGGAACTTCAAGTTCCAAACTCTCAGTTTCTTAAGTCTTATCAAAGTCACTGGCGATTTAAACACCACATGTCGACAGAGGTTTCAATTCTGACCACCCCAAATGATTTGCTGCAAAAGCAACGGCACATATTCCTAGGGTTTGTGAATTGACGGTATAAAATTCTCTATTCCCAAGTTTCACCAAATGAAGATTAGTTTGGTTACCGCTTTGCCTTTATTCTCTTCAGAATTAATCAGTACTCGATCTATTTTGGATAATTGTTGCTTTAGATGAACTAAAATTTTTAATGAATTCTAAAATATGATGATAACTTATAGTCAAAGTTGGTAATAGGTGTTGAGATAACAGATTTGAAGGTTTGTTGTGTCACTAAATTATCGTAACGCAAATCGCCGTGCAGATCAAGGGACATTGAGTGAACAATGGTGAGCCGAACGATGGGTGGCAAAATAAGATAAGTAAAATTCAAAGAAAGCGTGCATGTGAATGTGAATGAAGCGGACAGTTATCGATAAATTGAGAATTGATCAACTCGTCTAGATATGGCATGTGGATTTAAGTTATAGCCTTGTGCCCTTCAGTCACCAGAAGTGCTCGGCAAAGCGACTATCCTAAATGAGTGAACGAAAAACATGCTAACAACTATCAAAATCGTATCCTCTCTCTCTTATTCCTCTTTGCCTTTCTCCTACAAAGGAAAATGCGAGTGGTCAATGCATAACTTTAAGATGACAAGTAACCACCATTTAGTCTAAATGTACCTATGGTAGTAAAATTGGGGCATTATTTAGTATGGAGCAAATTTGGTGGACTGCGGCCGTTCTTGGAACAATATGTAAAGGTAGAGCTGCCATGTGAAAATTAAATTTTTTACTTATATCGACCGGTAATTTGGTCATTAGTACGCATGGAAAATTAAAGTAATACGATTTTTATCACGAGTAAGCATCCAAGCGCAACGAGTAAAGGGCAAGTCGAGCCAAAAGTAGAATCAGCATGGCAGCAACAGTATCTCACCAGCCCAACCAGGTGTACCATGATAAAAATTTCACTTGTCCTCGACGGTCCTAAGTAGGTCGTATCCGCGATCGTCAGAGTTGGACTGGTAAGATGCACCATGCTTCTAATACATTTGTGAAGGGCACAATGATACTATGGCTGAACAAAGAAACTTCATGCGGATGTGTTATTTTCGCGTAGGAAGGGAGTGGTCGTGAGCTCAGAGACCTCTCAGCCAGCCGCCAGCTGGATTAACAAGCCCCTCACTGTATTTTAATGGCATACCTACAGGCCAAATAAACGTACTCCACATCATGTCTACTTTTTCATTGAGATTAATGAGGATAAGTCAAGACTTATTCGTGTAGTTTACCGCTGCGCCTTTAAACCTAAATTCATGTTAAGTTGACCCCCAAAATAACGCTCCAATCCACAAAACGATTTCACGGAGAACAGGAAAATGAGTTTTCAAGGCAATCGAAAAACAAGCGAGCCAATCACGTAAGGAAGTTAAAGTGGAAATAATGTAGCGCAAATGGATTTTGGAAATTGTACAGCGAGCAATACCAATCTAACTTCGATCTGGGAGAATTTCAATCTAAAGTACTATTTTGAATTACTTTATTTCAAAGTTGCTTTCCCAGGTTTGAAAATATAAAATGGACAAGCAATTGTCATTGATAAACTCATCCATCCATATATGTAGATGAAAAGGGGGAAATGGGTAAATAAACTGTACAAATACAAAACAGACATTGAAACAATGCTATCCAGAAGAGTCTTGATTTATCACCTCAGTCATTAGTTGACGTAATCTGCTAAATTGAGTAATAGGCTGCTGCCTCGAATCGTCACGGGCAGGAATTGTGGCTGATTCTGAGTTGTAGACACTATCCTTGATCAGCATTCGTTTTCGCCTTCGCAGGATAGTTGAAGCAGTTAATGTTGGAATCTGGGCCGAGAGATTTCGAAGGTCAGTCTCGGATTTAACTAAAATAGGGAACACAATAAGCTAGTAAAATCATCAAGACAAGTGCAAAAGTCAATTACATTACAAGACAATGAGTTCTAGATGAGCGATAATGAAAGTAGGGATTTATCACTGAAATTTTGCATAACACAAAGCTCAAAGAAAGTTTAAACCGGGCAGTAAGACCTTTGTTCCATCAGCTGAGAACACCTCCCCCCCCCCTCCAAGTCGTATAAGAAAGAGAATCGATGATGACGTTAGGAAAGGCCTCCTCTTCCACATAAAAGCTTTCAATTTTGTATACTATTTACGTTAAAGACTTCACATTCTGTCTTTATTATGCCTTCTTCACCAGGAAACAAATTCAAATGCATGTAAGTTAATTTTCTGTTCAAACTAGATCATCAATCCTGAAAGTATTAAAAAACTGTAAATTTGAAGGCTTCGAACATGTGAATTCCTCTATTGTATTTGTGACCTTGGTTACTCCAACTTATTCTTCGAACTTTTTGCATTTGCTGGGCTCGTAAATGTCAATTTCTTAAGGTAGTGGTGTACAATAGACTCAGATATGCGCAGACGATGAAACAAGCAAAATGAAATGAGAAAAAAGCAATAATTATAATGGTTCAGAAAATCTGTTACACATTCTTCCTGACTTCTTACTATATCTGAGAAATACATTTCGATTAAGAAGAATTCTTGGGCCATCATTTCTGCCAAGATATTGTTTCGTGATCTTCAAAAAATGTGCACTCCAGTTTACACGGAAAAATGATTTCAGCGTTGTTAGACCATCCTTCATGGCTATGATTTCGATTAAGAATTCGACCAAGATAATGCTATACCATGAGTCATAACCCACCAGAAACGTCTTAAAAAGGATAATGTTATTGGAATTCTGATTATGAATGACGATACGCAACGCCTACTATTTAACGCAGTGTTCAAACTCACAATAACTGCAAATGGTAAACACAGCGCGATTTTACAGGACTGATCAATTGTCTATCATTTTGTGTCATCATAGCTTCGGATTCAAGGTGGCCCGAAGTTACTGTATTAAAGTCCACCACAACTAACCACGTTGACCGGCAGTCTTGGCATCAATTTCCAAATGACGGCGTTCATATCGAAACTCCTATGGGATGTAAACTCATGACGACCTAAACTGCCTAACTTCCACAGGATTCGGCTTTCCACTGCTCATCTTCATGCGCAAAAATGCATTTGAAACTTTACAGCAAGTTACATGCATGATCATCGGTCAAATGGCATGTGGGCAGAAGGTATCAACAGAGTAAGGCAAGGTAGAGTGCTTAATAGCATGGATGTAAATGGACGAAATTGGGGGACCCCATCGAAACCATCACCACCACTGGTTATGCCAAGTGCAGCCGGTCCTACCGGTTTCATCACGAATGGTTAAAAAGCCAGAGCTAATTATAAATAGACATCACTACTTATAACTCAGTTACTACCAAACTATCGATCATTGAAAAATTTCTTTGCTAAAACCATTCGCATTCAATGTATGCTTTAATTGCCTCTAAATTGAGACCGAGCACCATAAAAAATAGCATGGATGTCTTAATTTGCCATACGAAATTGAAATAAAAACTTGATTACCACATGGAGAAAAATTCCAAACTGAAGTTTCAAGAAATGGACAGAGGAGTTAGGATGGCGAATTTTATGCGTAATTCAGCTATCATGACCACGTGTCTGGCGCATAATGCCTCAAACTGCACAGTTTATAAGCAAAGTTCATTATCAGCAACATAATTTCGAATGATTACTCAAACAGTACCCTTTTTAAAAATCTCTGAATGTTTAAATGGCAAAGAATAGGTCAAATTATTGACATATAATGAAGTTCAGAAATTAGCCGTTTAGATGAAGATTTTATGGATTATTTAGAATTAATTGATGGAATCCATGAACGACCTTTAAAACCCTACTAAAAAGCTAAGCCTGCAAATTCTAGGATGGAGTCTTGAGAGATGGCAAAAAAAGTGAATGCTTACATGCAAAGGGATTTTCATACAAGAAACCTACTGTTAGGTGTTTTATATCTTATTTTCCAAATAAACCAACAATAAACAAAGTATTCACTTTTAAAATAGCCAGAAATTATCCCGTATATGTACAATATATCGTAGTTATTAATTAAAAGCAAGATTAATGATTTGACTTATTATGACTAGATGAAATTCGAATTAGAACAATTAAGTATTTGAAATAGAGAAATCACAATCTGACGAAATCAAAAATTAATGGATATAAAGTTACTACACTACTTATAAACGTCTAGGTAACATAAGAAGTTAACCCAGCTGTATCAGTCTATTTTACCGTGTTAATTTCCATTAAAAACAAGATTTAAAAAATGAACACCACGACGTCATATTGAAACAACAACCAAAGATTGGTCAACAGCATCCCGAATTTTGAAACAAAATGGATTACTCACATTAGAAATTATGAACATAATAAAACGCACATTAAATCATGGAAAAAAGATCTAATGAATATGAAGTCTTCGATAACAAAAAGATGATAAAATAAAGTGTATAGAAAAAACACTGTAAATTGTTCAGCAAGAAACAAGGTTAACTTGACATCACAGCACAACACACCTCATCAACAAAAATTAGATGATGGTATCGCCCATTCTTTAAAGTTGTGAAGATTGAAGTGCCGGCTTTTTCAAGAGCCCAACAGATGAAAGACGATTTGAAGCAAAAGAAGATAGGTGAATTCAAAATTCCATTAATGAAGCCTATTTAAATTAAAAAACGCCCTCGAAGAACATGATCGTAATACTTTACTTTCTCTCTCTCTCTGGTAAGTGCCATCCTTTTTTCACCTGCATGTCCAATTTAACTCAGAATTTGATCAAATGTACTAAGTAGATTACTTCGATGAAACGCTGAAGAACAAATAATAAAGCTAATCGATGTCATTAATTCAATGTTAAGGTATTATTTACTTAATTTAATCAATCCTCCAAAATGATGGAACGTAAAACACCATTCACAAGCATTACATGTACCAATAGTACTGCCTAATTGCTTTGATGTTATGTAGAAAACCTCATAACAAGCGCATTTGAGACCATTCTGTAATCAAGCAAACTAGAATCGGTATAAGGTAAATAAGATTCTAAATGTAAATATTCGTATTGAAAGCGAGCCCTACCGCAAACTGCCCATTATACAACTCAAAGTGAACAATTATGTCTCCATTATCCCCAGGTAAAAAAGACTCTATGCGTAAATGATTCGCATCACAAGTCAATAAACGAAATTATATCTTATTTATTTAACTTTCGTTCAAATTTGCCACCAACTAAGTTGCCAAATGAAACGATGGATGACCAAATAATATAAATGATAAAGAAGCATACTTGCAAAATAAGCAAGGCCAAAATAAAACATACAAATTATTTTCCGCTTGTAGGTTCGCGGTTTCTTGGGCCCAGGAGCAGGAACAAGGAGATGATTGTGACTCAGATTATAGTTTAGAATTTTAAGAGCGCCATTCTCATAAACAAAATTTATTTTTGCTGGACAGTTAATCATTTTCGACTTTCCACAGATCCCGCGTTCAGAGCGGCTTTTGAAAGTACCGGAACGTTTGCATTCAAGCGTTAGTCGCCGATAGACACAAGTTGTGGCATGAATATGTGAATCGGGCAATTTAGTTGTATGTCGTCGAATATAACAGGCCCCTGTAGTCTAAAAAAATTAAATAACTTTTTGTTTCAAGGAAGCTCACCTCTTGAAAGTTTTCGAGATGCTTCTGAAGCATTTCAAAGGAATTAAACGTAACACATTCAAACAATTTCTTGAAAGCACCATAGAATTCCGGATCTGGCTCAACATAGTTCCCTCCAGTTAATATCACAAAAGGAGGAGTCCATGGAATACTCTGCTTACTATGGGTATGATCTGAACTACATTCGACAATCTCGAGGCAATCATCGCGGAATTCTACAACTATGTACGAGAAACACGGATCGCTGAATATAATGCTATAGCGAAAAGATGGCGAACCTTGGTGAGACACCACAGCATCTATACACAACTTTTCTGTACATAAACTTGTCATATTCTTCAGTATATCTGGTGAAATATTCAACTCGGTCGATTTTATATTTGGCTCCTATCGTCTATTTTAGATTTTAAAGTGAAAGCAAAATAAAAACCTACATTCTGTAAATTGTGCAAAAAGATTTTAAGCTCATAAACATTTTCAAACGTCTGGCGCCTTGCAATTTGCGGGACGAAGTAACACCCAGGATCGACCATGACAAGGTTAGGAGTGCCAACGGTCTCGAATTGTTTTTATCATTTCAATGACCTTCATCATCCATTTATGGTTTCCTATAATATCTGTTAAAAACGAAATGACTTAGTCAATAATATTTACTTTATTTGAATTTTATCTGTCATTTTTACCTGACTTAAATGTTAAATTTTATTGTTGCTAGAATGTATACTTTACATTAATAATAATTTATTTCAATGTGAATATTGAAGGCCATTTTAAACCTAATTAATAAATGCATTATAATTAAAAAGCTAATTACGTAATAAACTTGTGATTTTATTCCTGAAAATTACTTCATACAAGTAAAATATGATTGTAATCAAACCGTTTTGAATTCATTTAACTATAGTATATATTTGATTCTGTGCATCCTCTGGCGTTATTGAAATTTGAAATACTTTCGAAATGTTGTAATTATAAAAAATTTGCAGTTGCCATCATAATTAGTTTTTTAATGTTACTGACATTTCAAAAAACACAAATGTATCGCAAACTTTTCTAATTTACCTTTTACTCTTATATTGTACACATGTTTTTGAAAGGCAATCCATGATCGAAACCGGTGTCTTCACGGTTCTACAACTGAGCATTCAGACTATAAATTCATAGTTAACTGAGATTATGGATTTAGTTTAAAACTAGTAAACGAATAAAGTCTGATGAAAATTCCGTATCTGCTCTTGCACATAGCCTGAGATGAGAATCTTGTTTTTGAATCAGCCTAACTTTTATTTCGATTCAGACCCATATTGAGATTTTTAATTTCTAGCTTTTAATCCTTTCTCAAGACACCATTTTAGTTGTGCTTGATTTATTTTAATAAATTACTCCACACCTTTCATAAGTTCTACTCGAAAATGGCTCTCCGTTTATGAAATTTAAATGCTTGTTCTATTTTCCCACTTCTATTGTGCTGTTAATACGCTCTCTTCATATAATAATAAGTTTTAGTGAACATCACAGATGAAATCAAACATGTATTGAACTTCAATGACTCGAATTGTTTTTCAAGTAGTAAAGATCCAATCGAAATTATCAATTCAACGTCAGGTTCTTTCCCATTTGTATCTCAGTTTAATCTATAATCATACTTAGGTATATTTTTGAGAGTCACTACTTTATGCTTTTAAATAGGGGTGTGCGATAGACTTATCTCCACGTGGTGCACCCTGGGCAGCGTACACTCATACGGCAAAAAAGTCTATTATTTGGCAGTTGACTTCTAACATCAAACTACCATGACCCCATTGTATGTCATATTCGACTATTTTCACAGTACTCACCTCGCCTTTGTGTTTGCCTCTTACATCTTTGAAACACTCTTCTGTTCTTCCCTCCCCCCCCCCCAACTTTTCTCAATTCGATGGTCGTTCCCCTCTGTGAAGCCTGAAGTCAAATAAAGAGCTAATGATAACCATCGAAACGCCTGGCATTTGAAATAAATGTTTTAAATAGTATTTTTTATTGCATACACAGTTCCTACATGCCTAATAATCCATATCCTCTTATCTATTACAGGCATTCACATTCGTATAATTAATCTTTTAATCAGTTAGGCTCAACACTTAGCATGCCCATAGGAAAAAAATCAGTTATCCCCCCTGCATTTTGTACTTTCAAGCGCTTTGCTTTTTAATCGTTTAGATAACTTACACTTTTCGCATACTTCGTACTCAGTAGGAGTTTTCCAAGAAGTTAGTTGCTTCTAAGTTTGGTTTAAATTTTTGATGTATTTTCCATATACTTATTAGCATTGACAAATCCGATCTTCCAATTCGTTCCAAAAGTTGCTCATGAAACTGAACTTCAACATTAATCCTCTCGTTCCGAAATTGCTTAATAATAATTCTGTTTTGAGTTGTTGAGTGACTGAAGACTCAGGCTTATTAATTTCTTGAGCTTAACAACGAATCTATAGCTGCGAAAATGAGGTGAAAACACCCAAATTTTCGCTTGCTACTAAATGGGCTATGACTAGTAAATAAAATTGGTACATATTAAAATTAAATTCGCCCCCATGTTAGTCTCGTCGAATTTAAATGTTGTCAAGGGATTTGAGTCCACTGGGACGTTGGATGAATCTTGATCAAAAACCGAATTGTGTTATGGCGGACAAAGGAATCAATCGTTAGTCCTGGGAAGGGTGTGGTCACTCATCAGAATCCTCTTACTTTACTCACCAAGCTTCAAGTATCATTCATCTCTATTTTAGTTTGCACTTTAACAAGACGAACACAGCCACATAATCGTAGCGCCATTCTGTAATAGCCCAGTATTTATCATTGATCAGCCTACTTTTCCTCGATATTCTTTAACTGAATGCTAGGCGGAATTTTAGCTTTCAAATTTTTACATCCGCTTCCAAATTTGAAACTTGGTCCATAACTTTACTTTTGCGAAAGCAGTGGCTTCTCAACCAATTAACTACACAAGTCAGGACTCCCAGTCAACGATCAAAACCAATACGTGGTTATCATAACAAGGGCGAACACATCTTGATCAAATTGAGCGCGTGGTTCCCATGGCAGAAAGGGTATATTATGACTAAGCTCGCCGTTTCTATTCGGACACTTCAAAATAAGTGTGTCGTATCTGTATCTTCTACAGCTCCGCGTTAGATTAACTAATTTTGGGAGCATTCCAAACATAGGAAAAGTTGCCATTGAGATTACTGCGCATAGGCACGGCTTATTATCGTAGCAATCCGCCACAACTTTTAAACGTATAAGAACTCGTTTGTAAAACATTTTCGAAAACACAAATGAGTGTTAAATATTGTACCACCATCGTCTATAATTATCACTTTATCATCTTCAAATCTAGGCTCCAACTAAACTTGATACTTTGAATATCTCCAGCTTTCGCTGCTGACATCTTTGCCTTCAGGGTAGATATTTAAATACCCGGAGTGCGCGATAGACCTACCTCCACGTGGTGCACTCTGGACAACGTATACCCATTCGGCAAAAAGCTCTATAAACCGGCAGTTGACTTCTGACTTCAAACATGACCCAACTGTATGTCATATTCGACCACTTTCACAGTACTCATCTTATTGTATGTCATATTCGACTACTTTCACAGTACTCACCTCAACCGTATGTCATATTCGACCCCTTCCACAGTACTCATCTTACCTCGACTATTTGTCATATTTGACCCCTTTCACAGTACTCATCTTACCTTGTCATATTCGACCACTTTCACAGTACTCATCTTACCTTTTCTCAGCTTTTGCGTCTGCCTCTTTTACATCTGTGAATCACCCTTCCGTTCGCCCCCCTCTCGACTTTTTGTCACTTTGATGTCCTTCCTCTCTGTGAAGCGCAAAGTCAACTAAAGGGCTATTGACGATTATCATAAAGCCTGCCATTCGATAAAAAATATTTTAATACCCTACTTTCACCACCCTTTTCAGAAAACATATTGAAAACAAATATTTGTGTCCTGATGCCAATATATATATAACCCAAAGATAAGTGTATCAAACAAATCAGCAGAAATAAGAACAAGTTTCTGGAGGCATTTTGAACAGATGTGCGTATATAGATCCACTCGATCTTTAAGATATGCATTTTGGCTCTATTAATTACTTATTGAGCCATTTTAACATGCTGGGACATTTGGACTCGGAGAGTGCTCCCTAATATTTACCTCTAAAATACTCCCATATTCTACTTATCAAAAAGGATAGGAAATATATTTAACAGCAGGTTATCTGATAATACGAGTTGCAATAACGATTTTTCATATTTTAGACCATTTCAAAAACAGAACAACATTCACGCACACATATCGTCATTACACACCTGGCATAAAACTTGTATAACAAAGGATCGTAAAACAGAAACGATAGACAGAACTGATCGCCTCTACAGAAAAAGCGCTCCCTGCGTCGGACGAATAAGTTGGCTAGACGATTGTACATAAGCACAAACCAAACGCTTGTACATGTTATTTCTAAAACCGTTAGAGCCATATCGAGGAATCTGTTTAGCTATTCACCAGCGTTCATTCACATTACATATCCATTCATTTATTTCATTCCACTGACTCGTGAGAGGTAATGAAATAAGCCTGACTACAGCATCTCGAATAGCACTAAATACTCTATTTCAATTCAGTTATAAGTGGAGGACTCGATTAATGATGATTCTTATTAGAATATTACCTTAGTGTTACAGATATCTTCCCTTTCACCATGCTATGAAATCCGGTATTTGAATGACTATTAATCCAATCCAATTTAAATACTATTAGTGTAACCTACTCAGAAGGAAGCACGATTTTAGTGGTTTCCCTGGAAATATTTCAACTATATCACCTTTAGTTATTGGCTCAAATCACTTACTCTGATTCGTTTAAACCAGGTGGACCAACTCCTTGACATCTTAACTATTCCACTGTTCAAAGAAAATAGTCTGCTGTTAATAAAACTGTACTACACCAAACTCCCGTTTAGGACAGTTAATTGAGGGTTCAGAGATAATTGGGACGGACGAAATAAACTGGAACAATAGGGCAATCAACAGATAAGTGAATGGCTGAGTTTTGCAAGGGGCCTTACAAAAACTGATAGAGAGGAAGTTGAATTGAAATTTCATCGAGACGCGTTAATGAACCTCCTAATTAGCTCATATAAATAATTTTTCTCTACGATTAAAATAAGGACGTTGCAGGGTTAAGCACTAATGAGGTTGATATAAATAGGTTGTAGAGAATGACTGATGACACAAATAATTATTTTAGGAAACAATGATTCGTCCATCGACTGCTACTTTTTACAAATGTTTATGACTTCAACTGAACCTCAGATCATAGACAAGATTTCCGTCAACGATTTTCGCCTTGATATCAGGGGAAAAAAGTACTAATATTTAGACTCAGTACCTTCAGATCATTTAATTTTGAAATTTCAGGCTCACACCCGATAGCGGGACTATTTTAGTCAAGCGAAAATCGAATGAACGAACGAATATTAAATCAAAGAACTTAAGTACCAAATAAATTCAATAAGACTCAAGCATAAAAGATTACCAATGCATAATCAAATTTGAAGAAAAAACTCGAATTCCAAACCATCTAATGAAGTCCCATTCATTAATATTTCATTAAGCGGCTATAAACGCGAAGACATTAAACATTATAAAGGCAATCAATGTTCAGCTTTGCGTTAAATAGGGCAAGCAACTATGTACAAGTGGAAGTTTTTAATTACAAAGGACATGGATTGGAATCAGAAGTAGTTCATCAAATCCATCTTGGTCTTCAAGCTACTAGATGTGCGCGAATTCGAACCGCTGGAAGTATCAGCTTGGCGACAACCGTCGCGCTATCAAATGAGCAAATTGCTCATTATTACTTTCGAGACAAAACGACAGTTAAGGTAACATCAAATAAGCAAATAGTAAACATACCTTGAAAGAATTAGTGGAATCAGAATCGGGAACTCCGGCAAGAGAGTGTTGATTTGGCATTTGAGAAGGGGCAGGAGGCTGAGAATTTGGAGATTGGATGAGGCGTGGAATTTTAGCACGAGGGCGTTGTATGTCGCCGCGCATACTTATCTGAGAATTAATGCCCTGTAGGCTTACTGGCACATGAGAATCACACGGACGTTTAAGACCGCGCATTTGCTCTTCATGTTGACGCTGACGAGTAAGGGTATTCTTAAAGGTTTCTCGCACTTGGTCCTTAATTTTGGCATCAACGCTATTGAAGGTAGAAATGAACTCGTCAGACATCTTCCGAATTTCTTCGACTCTAAGATCTTTGGAGAATATATGGAACCAAGATTCATTCTTTGCTTTTATGTCAAAGTTTAGCCACTTCGCAGAGACATAAAGACTGACAGCAGCGATCGCTTCCGGCGAATGATGCAAGAAGAGTGTAGTAAAGTGGAGAACATTGGAGCAGACAAAATAACTACATGTTGCTACTTCTTTTGGAATGTCACTTTTGCGCAACATTTCAATCAGGATAATGTGTGGATGCTTGATATCCATTTTTCGAAAACCAATGACCATTAGCAAAATTCCTTCCAATGAGTGAATTGTTCGAACAATACGGTGAAAGACTGATGATGTTTGATCAGGAGGTTGCTTTTTCAGCACGTTATAAGCAGCTCCAATTATGAAGGAAAGCTTTCTTGAATAATCCTCGGTTTTACTAGCGATATATAAAGTTGTAATAGCAGTGAATATAGGTTTCACTGTATCTGGCGAGAACCTTTCATAAAAATACTGCATATAGCAAAGCGCAGAGTTAATTACAACTTGAGTTGTAGACATTCTAGATCCAATCTCCTGAATCAAACAGGCACACTGCTGTCGTTTGGCCAAATTCATCACGAGCTTAAAGGATCGAAACCGCGACTTGATGGCCTCAAAATTACCGCCGTCGCTAAATAGGAAGAGCCAATAAAACAAGCATTGTCGCTGTGAGATATCTAAATCTACGAAAATGAAAAAATCCAAAAATACCAGCAAAGCATTTTAATTTCGTTTACTTTGGATGTAAAAGAAAACGCATATTTTGACGTTATGAATTTTCCTTTCAGTTTCTGAAGCCGAAATTCTTTAAGTTTATGTCAACGTTCAAGCTTAGTGGAGGAGGAAGACAAATATTTTTTATGTAGGTTTTTAAAAATAAGACAAAATTTATTTATTATCTTTACTGTGCATTGTGGAATCCGATATTATAGATGATCATATGATTCACTTATATACCACACATTCTTTTCACGTTTTCTTTCCTATTTGAAGTCAAAATATACCTGCTCTCTGCTAAGCGTCAGCAAATTAATCTTTGAAAGATGAGTATCTAAGTTTTTTTGTATTTTAATTTTATTTTATTTTGGTTTGTCATATTCGTATTCCAAATATTTTTTCCAAACAATCTGTTAATACTTTCTCTATAAACAATTATTGATTTTGGAATATTAATGCTTTTTGTTGTCGATCATAACCTCTCGTTGTTTTAAATATCATTTTTTTATATTAAACGTCAGGCTATATTATATTTATCATTAACCCTTTAGTTGTTCTTTTCTTCAAAGAGGGAAATAACCTCAAAGCTAAAAATTGTCGAGATGGGAGACAGAAAATTTATTTACACACGTAAGTGCAACAGATATAAATATAATGAAAAAAGTTAAGTTGACTATTGGGGAAGTGGACGAAAATGACATACAGTTGGTTCATGTTAGCTTGAAGTCAGAAGTCTTTTGCCGGATTGTATATTATTATGTTACATTAGTATACGTCACCCAGGGTGCACCAAGCGGAGGGAAGCCTGTCGCTCTCCTCTTGTTCGTACCATAAGGTGTTGTTTTTGTTGAAAGAGTTTGATTAATGGGATTTGATTCTAAAATCAGCGGGGAGAGAAATAAATAACAACGCTTTGTTAAATTATGTAGTATAGTAAATGAAAATTAGTGAGTTAGTCAACTCAGTATATATATATATATTTGCACATCATCTTGCTTATCGCTTACATTTTCAGCAGAAGTCCTCCAGTGCCAACAGTAATAATTTAAGTTCAAGATTTTATTGCTTAATTTGCATTATACAAAAAATTCTTCAATGTAAAACGTCTTAAGTAAAGCCGTGTACCAAAATTCATAAAACTTACTTGATTGGTTTTACAAGATTCACTATTTCGATTGCGAAGAAGTTTTTCAGTTGGATTAACGCCTGAGAAACTTTTCAGTCATACTTTATCGCAATTATTTTCCACGATTAATTCAAATTTTAATCATTAAAGAAGTTCATTTATATCTGTGGCTCAATTTATCATTTGTCATTCTATGTAATGAGATTGTCCTTGATAACATGCGCTCAGTATTTTGCCGTTGTCTATTTTATTTCTTCGGATTGTGACATCGTAATTTCATTGATGGATTTACTCCAAACACCAATCTATTACACCTCTAATTTAATTTTTTTAATTTCTCAGAATTCCCAACAATATGATTGGCATCGCTCTTTTTGGATTAGGGCGTGCTGGAAGAATTCACTCTAAAAATATTCTGGCTAATCCTAAATGCGTGCTTTTGTATGCATAAATCAAGCATATCGCGTTTTCAAATTTTAGCTAAATTTCTAAATTGCGTTTCCTTTAGATATGCAGTCGATCCTTCCCCGTCAGCGATAGCTGAATTCAAAAGCTTAATTCCACCAAATCGAGAAGAAATTAAATACATCAATTCTACCGATGATAAAGCTATAAAGTGCATTTTTGAAGACCGATCTGTTACAGCCATTTTCGTTTGCTCTACAACTGGGAGCCATTACGCAATTGCCAAATGGGCTATCGAATCCGGAAAGGCCATTTTCTGTGAAAAACCTATCAGTGTGGATGTGACTGAAACTGAAGCTCTTTATCGTCTTGCCTTCGAAAAAAACATCCCCCTTCACTGCTCCTTTAACAGGTAAACAAAACATTCAAGGAACCTCTGGACTAAACGTCACCTTGCTCTTAGTGTCTCGCGTCTTTTAATGTTATACTAATGTGCACCGACCTATATATTTTAGGAGATATGACCCTCAGATTATTGAGATGCACGAGACCCTAAACTGTGGCCAAATGGGAACAATCCATGTCGTAAAAACTTGCAGCCGTGATCACCCTTGTCCTTCAATCGAATTTCTACGTGAATCTGGTAAATGCTGTCACTATATACAAACAAATTTACATCTAATACAATCTAGGAGGGTTCTTTCATGACTGTGCATCGCATGACCTTGATATGATTTGCTGGTTGATTGGTGCCATGCCAGAACGAGTCTATGTAACTGCCTCGGCCCACTCAAAAGAGATTGCCGAATTGAATGACGTTGACACAGCTGTAATTGTTCTCAATTTCCCTCCCCTAACCAAGAATCGTCCGGGACCTATTGCGATCGTTGATATCTCACGACATGGTGTATATGGGTTTGTTCGAAATACACAGTCTTCAAACTTTCATTTTCATAGTTATGATCAACGGGTTGAAGTCCTAACCGACGGAGGAATGATTCGGTCTGAAAACCAGCAAGCAGATGGAGTTGTCTTGAATGCCCCGAGCGTAACCAAGTCGGCGCCGATTAAGACGTCTTTTCCCCAGAGATATTACTATAGTTACTTGAATTCTCTTGAATGCTTCATTGATACCGTTCAAGGTAAATTATGCATTCTCCAAGCGACTAATAATAATACTTGCATTCTAGAAAGGAAACATGCGGATATTAGTGCCTGTGATGTTGTGAATATCTCCCGTTTGGCGCATCTCTGTGAAAAATCTTTCAAAGATGGGCAGCCTCATGAATTTAGACCTACTAAGTTAGATTTTTAAAACATTCCTAACTCCAATAAATACAAATTTTTATGCGAAAAATGACTTTTATTAGATGCCAAAGCAACATTAAACTATGGAAAGTGGTTCACATCATCATCGGTTCAGGTTCTTGTATGTCTCTTATAACGCGAGTTGAAACAACGTCATACTCGATTTTCTTGACTTCAGTCTTATTTACCTTGGTAGTACCAGCTCTGGGAAGATAGCTCAAACTCCTAAAGTGGGTGAGACAAAATAATAATTACTCGATAGGAGCTTGTATTTTTTAAAGATAAATAGATTCCCACTTACCGCACTCCCTTTTCCGTAGCGACGTCGAAGTGCCTAAGGTACTCTGTTTCTTTGTTTGTTATTACACAAAGATCAACTCCAGTTCCAGAGTATAAGTCATTGAACACGCCAGCTAGAATAGCTTGCCTGACGAGTTCCATAGCCTCCTTTTTCTACAAGCATTAGTCATACTTAAAAAAAATCCACATACGTTCATGTTCGGTCGGAAGTTAGTCTCGAGAACGGACATGGCAGCGAGACAACCACTGCCCATTGCGGTATAAGGGAGTCTGTCACTAGATCCATAGGGATAAATACCGTAAAGATGAGGTCCAAAATTATCGACACCACCCAAAATAAAAGCAGCACCAACATGACCCTAAGAAAATTAACCACTCTAGTAAACCAAATACCTGGTATTTGAATAGATGTTGTTTGATTAAGCGCAGGGCCGCGATCACACGTGGCTTACGGCCAGTATTCAATCTGTGGAGTTCAATTTGAGAAGAAATCATTCGAGTAACCATATGAGCATCTGCGGCAGTACCTGCACCGCAACAACTATTAAAATAGTAAAGTGTAATGTACCCAACATACTAGATATTATCGGCGATAAAGTGAATCTTTTCACAAGATTTATCTGCCACAATTGAACCTTCAGTTGCTCTGGTATCAGCACCAAGTACAATGCCATCCTAAATCCAGTTCGTAAATTTAAAAATAACGCATACAGCATAAATCACTGCAGCAAGTGTGGTCCCGGTCTTTGTCATTTTGGTTGGCATATTTGATAACTTATTTAACTGCTCATTTCTATAATAAGATCGGCAGTAAAAGTATAAAAATATCATACCTGATGCAATTATCATATACAAACCCACCTTTTGGGATATCAAGAATCTGACAATTCATTCTGCGGAGACGACAGAGAACAACGATGACTATGCTAGAAGGCAATTGGCTAGACCCCGAATTTGTTTCAACAACGGTTAGAGTTGATTTGTCAAACAAATATTTCAGGGATTAATAAAAAACCCATAGCATTACAATTTTACCTTTGATGTGCATTCATATAATATGAAAAACAGACATACCGCTTCCGTTAAATAAATTCCAGCATTTATCCAATTCTACATGATGTTGCCACTGAGACTTCGTTAAAATTAAATGAACTTAGTGAAATAAATTAAATTAACTAATACTTTCTTGTATATATTATATTTTAGACACTCTCAAAGGACTTTAGTTATACCCTTACTTAATATACTTAAAGTGAATTATCCTTATTTAATTTTTGTTTATCCTTTTATGTCAACTGGAAAATACATCGATTAGCAGCTTATTTTTTCCTTAAAATGGCACTATTCTTTCCTTTTTGTCGTTTTGGAAATTACCGGTTGCAGCTATTTTAAGTATGTTTAGGCAAATAAATTGAAATGTGTATTTATCTTTTATCGAATGCAATAAATAGGGTACTTAATACCTTGGTATCAGTTCTGAAAGTGATACCAATCCTTCCAAGTGGTTTCTTTTACCCAAAAAGATCTTATGAGACTTCTGTCGATTGTCAAATTTCGGTGTCTCTAACAACATATTAGGATTTGTAGATCTCTAAACACGCATTTACGACGCAGTTTCTCAAATCAAAATACAACCTCAGGCATGTTTAGCTTCATTGATTAACACATTGTTGAATATACTGTATTACAAAGGAAAATAAGCGAACGCAAAGCGCAGCAAATTAATTTAGAAAGTTGAGGTCCTCTTGGTGAAAATAAAATGTTTTATCATGATCTTTGCTCTGAAGGATTCCTGACTATTCTAAAATTTTAAGACAAAATATTTATCGATTTATTTGCATCAAATGGCAGGCTTTATGCTAGTTATCATTAAACCTTTAATCGGCTTCCGGTTTCACAGAGGAGAGGAACATTAGCCACAAAAAGTTGGAAGAGGGACAGAAGTGAGATTCACAAATGTAAAAGACGGTCACAAAGGTAGAGAAGAAGTTAAGGTGAGTTCTGTGAAGTGGTCGAATATGACACATAGTTGGGACATGCCAGTTTGAAGTCAACTTCCGGTTTATTGTCACTTTTGCCATATGAGTGTGCATTATCCAGGTTGCTCTACGTGGTGATAAGTCTATCGAGCACCCGAATCCAAAATATATGACCATTTTTCAGAAAATGCAATGCATTTCAAACTGAATTCCAAACCGTATTCATAATTCCACCACAACATATAATTGAGATTGCATAAAACATCCAATTTCCATTTAGAATTGTGTCTCACATGGTTCGTTGCCTCTAAAAGGGTCATTTAATTTTGGAGAAAGTTAAATTTCAAAATATGTGTTATTAATTGCAATTTCTTCAAGTTAGGCTTGAAAATCTTTGTTCAAGTGCGGTTATTCATAATTGCTAAGTGCAAAACAATTCTGTACCAAATATAGTAAATTTTATTGGCAAATTGAGAAATTACTTAAAGTACTTGCATTTGATTACTATTGGTCTAAAATCGAATGCGCTCGGGCAGAAAAAATATTACGTCTTACCCAGTCAATTTGAATCTATTTAAAATTAGAAAAATAACTTCGAAGATAAGTATTATTTTAGAACAACTATAAAAGATATTGAAATGACAACACATTTAAATTGCTTTTATCGAACATAAAAAACATGAAGCAAGATATCACTGCAATCCAAATAACAGCAGAACCTTTAGGTCTCCTAAATGGAATCAAATTGATAAAGATAGGACAAAAAACAAACTGATTTGAAATCTAAATAGTTTAACACGAAATTTCGTTTCACTAAACTGAGATTACTACAGGAAGGGTTAGGGTCTAATAAGGTCTATTTTTAGGACTGCTTAGTAAGGGTTCATTTAAAAACTCAATCCGGTTGTTTCGGAAATAACCACTCAACCAACGTCTTCGTAGTACCAGACAGTACGTTTCTGCTTTGTGGGACCGTTATAACAGAGCACAGATCCATACCATAAACTTACTAGCTCATTTGGAACCAGATATCAAATTGTGGACGCTTATAACAAGTTGAAGCCTTTGGGCTTAACTAAAAACATAGAGGCTTGCAAAATACATGCAGAATGGAATAGATTAGTTAAAGGGATATAACAGTCAAATGAGCCCATTGAGTGCATTAAAAATGAAAATACCGGCGACGGAGTATGACGATTAAAAAGGATACGAAGGATATGGACTACCCTCTGTGCTCATGTTAGATGATCAGCGGCAAGTATGACTTTCATGCAATCTTTGCTGTGGTTCTGCTTTCAACATGTTAACCTAGAAAACAAGGGAATTTCACTTCACAATAAACCCTTAAAAACTGGTCTTAATCCTAGTTTGCACATGCCTTCTCTTAATTGAACATTAAGTGATTTTACATATAAGTTTCATAAAATTGAAATAACCACTTGTTCGGTGTTATTTGTGCGTTAAAGTGAGTGAAAATGGAATACTGAATAACTTATTCATGGAATTGTGTTCAGTTATATTTCAAGCCCAAGAATTATATGAATATATCCGCTCAGCAATCAAGATTGCATACAATATACTTCTCGGACAGGCGAATGCATGGCTAGATAATCGAGGATTGGATAGTTTTGGAAGGGGTAGGAGGGGGGGGGGATTTTAACAATTAATTCTCTCATTGTCGACCCGAAGAAAATATGATGTGTCTGCTTTCTCAACTGGCTTTTTTAAAGAGGTTCGCCCTGAATCCGATGATATCACTGGGGATAACATCCTGAAATAGATCATTTCAGGGATTCTTGCAGTTTACAAGGTTTAAGATGACAAAAAGTTAACTCGCAACTATCATTTGATAATTTCGGGTGTGGTAATGAAATTTAGCCAGTGACAAGAGAGTATTACTTTCCTTTCTCCATTTTTCGCAGTTTTCACGTTTCGCACGAATTTCATCAAGAGGAGGGAATTGATGTAGTTGGTCATTTTAGTCTAAGGTAAGTAAGAATTTATAGCATTTTTGTTTCGAGTAAATGGCCCCAATAAGAAACACTTAATGAAAATGACCGTCTTTTGATCTTTTAACTGACGCTTGCCGATTGATTTAAATGTATCTTTTACCTTTCAAACTCTTATGGCTGGAGAACCAAAATAGCTTAACTCCTTACTCAAGATAATTCTGAATTCGACAAAAGGTGACCATTTTCTGTAGACACTAAGAAAAATGAGACCTGTTCCGCAATTAATTGCTTAAAATAAGTAATACGGTAGTCAGCATTAAGGCAAAAATGCAGTGGTTTTTAAAATATATATTTACAAAAAAGTAATTTTAGAATAATAATAATAATCCCACTACAACTGAAGGGAGAAAATTGCTTACAGAATAGTTTTAGTAGCAGATAGTCTCGGAGGAGGCATCGCCACACAGGATTGCCATTTGGCCAATTAAACGTGAATAAGTGGTTGGCTAAAATATTTATAAGTAGGAGAAATCTGCTATAAGCAGTAAGATGAGAAAGTCGATTCTGATTAGATTTCTGTTTCGAAGTTCATTTTGAAAAGGAAGGGTATTTCAAGGTTTTGCTGTTAAAAAACTCTTAACAGGCTAAAATGCTGAGTGCATAGGAATATGTTAAATCAATAGTAAATAACAGAATTAGTCAGAGTTGACCTAAATTAGATCAGGTGATGACCTGCAATAGTTCAGGAGCTTGGCGCCCCTAGCTACATTTCAAAACTAAGATTAAAGTCTTTTAGAACCTTTTCATAAGAGAGAGAGAGAGAGATAGCTACTCAGGTTTATAAAATAGGAGTAAAATAGGTGTCGAACACTTGCAATTTCCCCAAAGGAGCATTTAACTTTCAATGGAGAATCAAGTAAAAGTTGGAGAGAATGAGTTAGAATTTCTTTTGTGAAAAATTAGAACAAAGCACTTTCATGAGATCAATATTTTTGTTTATTATGGCACAATTTTAAATACGGAATTAAAGCGATTGCTTCTAAATCTTCCAATGCACTTGCTCATTAATTTGGATGAGAAAAATAATTATTCTTTTTACAAAAATCGCGCCTTTTCTATTCCTTACATGAACTGAAACTGCCATACCTAAAAAATTTGTTCTCCCGATAATTTAAAGAAGTCCAATGAGAATGCTGTCCAGATAAAAATAATTTTGGTAAGATAAATGGTTTTCCAGCATGAACTTTAACGGTAGGGGATTGGAATTTCGTTCCGATTGAAAGCGAATTGTCCTTGGTGTTTAAAGTTACCTTTAATAAAGCTTGAATTTTCCATCCTTGAATTTAAAACTAAAAGAAAACTAGAAGTATTCTCAAAACTATCTATTGATATGTTCTGAACCTCTGAATCATCTATCACAGTTTATTGTCTTAAGGAAACGAAAAATGGTTTCCTC